TGGGAGGGGCGACTGGGGGAGAGTGCGCCTCCCCGTCAGCTCTTCCTCCGTCTGACCCAGCTCCCACCCCATCGCCCGCGGCCGGTCGGGCAGGCCGGGCCCGGGGAAATCTTCCCCGAGCCCAGCGCCGCCGCCGCCGCCGCTGTGGCGGGCGGGGAAGGGGTATCTGGCCCCTCCACTCCCGCTACGCCGCTTCCTTCTGCGAGATGACTTTCTCGCAGAAGGAGGCAAACGCGTGCCAGGACCTCTCCTCTTCTAATATTGCGGTAATCACCGCTGGAAGAGAGAGGTCCCGCCCTAACAGGCGGACGAGCGCCTCCCGCTCGTCCGCCCACGCCGGACACTCGCCCAACGTATGTTGGGCGGTGTCGTCCCCCGCGCTGCAATGGTGGTAGCGGGAGTCTTGCTCCCTTCCGATCCGACCCAGGAAATGTCCGAAGTTGCCATGCCCCGTCATCACCTGGGTCATCCGGAAGGACAGCCCACCCCATCCCCTATCGACCCACTGGTCAAGGAGGGGCCCGATTGCACCGACGACGCGCAGCCCCGGGGTGTTGTTCCCCGAGGCTAAGAGCGCCTCTCGCCACGTGGCGATTATGCGTCCCCGGTGCCGGAGTCTCTGCCGAGCACGGTGAGTCGCCGACCATCTTATGGGTCTCCCCTCGGAGTCGCGGCTTTCGAGGAACATGTTACTATGTTCCTCCGCCGCGTACTCCATCGGGGGGAGACCCGCGATCACCGCCGCCGCGTTGTACGCCACGGTCCGGTACGCCCTGCAGAACCTCGCGGCTATCGGGCGAAACGCACGCACCATCTGAGCGCGCGCGCGCCGCGATGCCGCGAGTTTTGGGGCCCAAACTGGAGGCCCGTAGAGCGCCACGGACTTAACCGTGTTGGCGTACAACCGACGCACCTTGCCGTCCGGGCCGCCAAGGTTGGGGAGGAGCCGGCCAAGCTTGGCCGCTCTCACACCCGCCCTGCTTGCGGCTCTGGCAAGGTGGCTCGCAAAGCTCCATCGGTCGTCGAGGATCAACCCGAGATAGTTCATCTCGTGGCCGATCCTGACGAGGGCCGTACCCACAGCCAGGGTGAGTCCCTCGGGCGGCGCGCCGCGTGCTCCACGTCTTTTGCCGTGGAACATCACGGCCTCGGTCTTGCCGAGTGCCACCTCGAGGCCCAGGCTGCGGATAGAGTCGACTATCGCTCCCGCTGCCACTCGCCCCCTGGCGAGGGCCACCCCCCAATCGCGGCCCCCGGCTGTCACGAGCGTGTCGTCCGCGTAGCAGACGACGTGACAATCGGGGCGGAGGGGAACACGCAGCACCGAGTCGTACCCAACGTTCCACAAGAACGGTCCGAGAACCGATCCCTGGGGCACTCCCCGGTGCAGTCTCACCCGTCGGCTACGCCGCCTTGGTCGATATATTCGACCCACCTGTCCCTCAGGTAGTCGCCCACGACGCGAGCGAGGTACGACGGCACCTCGCGGCGTCGGAGCGACTCCCTGATTCGTCCCCAGGGGAGGGTGTTGAAGGCGTTGGCAATGTCCAGCGACACAGCCAACATCACCCCCCCCGGGACGTCGCCTCTTCAGAGAGGGCCTGCACACGCTTAATAGCGTCTATGGTTGACAGGCCCTCCCTGAACCCATATTGGGCCCCGCTGATGTCGGGGCCCGTTTGGGATAGGTGCTGGACGAGGCGGTTTTCGAGTACTCGCTCGAACAGTTTACCGACCTCGTCCAGATGGCATATCACGAGACACGGTAGTGTCTCGCGCCAAGTGTAAGCGTAGCTAGTACACGCGTGCGAGACCGACCGTGTAAGTTTACGCGAGTACACGAGTTGACGGGCCCTCAGATTTTCGGATATCAACAACGGCTGATCCGACGAAATTGAGACTGCGCTTAATCGATAGCTTGGGTACGATTTGCATAATAAAAGTATATTTACTTTTCTCCTACGTGCTCCAGGAGTGGAGGTATTGCAATGCAAAAGTCAGATTTGTTAAATTTTGGATT